ATCTCACCGGCTCAAGGTTGACTCAGCCTTCCATCCTTCCGAGGTGGGTGAAATGAGGACCCAGACTGCGGGGGCGATATGTTGACTCTGTAAACCACTTAGAGAGGGCTGAAAGCCCTATGAAGCGGTATATAAGTCTAACTGCTATTGCTATTGCTAGTAAAAAAATTGAATCCCGCCACTGGGTTGCTGTGTTTTTCTGTAGTATTGTTTTTCTGCTTCTCTCTGATGTTTGAATTCATTACATTTGGATCTACTGTTTCTTTCTAATAGTTCGGGCGTTGTTTGCTTTTCAATCAAAAGGGACGGGGCTACACTTTGCAAATTGAACTAACGCCACTCCTTTCCCACACTTTCTTCTTCTTCTTCTCCAACCAGGAGAGGCTGCTGACTTCATTATGGAGGAACACAACGGTTCTGCAGAAAGCTCCCTGCTGAGCCCAGCACGGCATGTTGCCATTAAGTGTGGGTGGCTGAGGAAGCAAGGAGGTTTCGTGAAGACTTGGCATACTCGCTGGTTCGTACTCAAAGGGGAGATGCTATATTATTTCAAAGATGAAGATGAAGCCAAACCTTTGGTAAGTGCAAAGAGAGTGCATGCAAAGGAAGGCGGAGAACTTGGAGTGTGTGTAAGTTAGGGGTTTTCTTTTAACCTTGGATCTGTAGACATGAGGACTTCTATTTCAATCTCTTCCGGACAACAGAGCCGCTGGCAGTTGGTTGATATGGAATATGCTGCAGCAACTCTTGATGCAGGGGTGTCAAACTCAAGGCCCACGGGCCAGATCAGGCTCATTGGTTGCTTAGATCTGGCCTGAGGGTGGGAGGCTGGCCTGGAAACCACCAAAGAACAGCCTGTGATGCCTCTACCAGCAAAAATGGAACTCGGGACTGCCGTTTTCACTGGTAGAGGGCTGCAGGAGGCCATCGCGGCTGAAAACGGGGCCCAGGGAGGCCACACACCAGCCCGGTTTTCACTGGCAGGGGGCTAGTAAAACAAATTAAAAGCAAACCAAAAGGAGAAATGTTTCCTCTTTTGCATTTGAGCATCCACGAAGAGACTGGAAAGAAGAAAGGGATAGAGGAAAGACAAAGAAAAAGAAGGGAAGGTGGGAAGAGAGCAAGGAAGGAAAGAGGGAAGGAAGAAGAAAGGAGAATGAAGAGGAAGGGAAGGAAGGGACTATAATGAGAGGGAGGGAGGATCTGAGGGAAGTCCTGCCTTAGCATTTGGCCACCACAGGTGCCCCTGAGATGACTGAAGTTGAGCTGGCCACGCTTACCCCAGGCATGGCCACCCCAACCCCCCTGAGGTTAAGCACAACCCTCAATGAAATTGAGTTTGACACCCCTGTCTTGGTGTCATTGATTTAGGGAAGGCAGAAGTCCAACGAAGACTTCTTCCAACTTTTACAAGTTTTTTTTTAATTATTTCTAACAGATTCTCTCCAGTTGCCAACACAGTTATGGGCTTCCAACTTGATATGCGACTTAGTCTGAAAGTTATGTGGGGTCATAAGGGAGAACTTGCTGTGTTTTCTGTTCCTTATAGTCTCCTGTCATACAATGCACTTTGTTATGGAATCAGGGTCAGAGAAAAGTCTGGGGATTTTATAAACTAAGAGCAGTGTATTTGTGTGCTTTGGCATGTTTATGGAAGGAGAATAGTGGTAAAATTCATTTTTTTTACTACTGGTTCTGTGGGCGTGGCTTGGTGGGTGTGGCAGGGGAAGGATACTGCAAAATCTCCATTCCCTCCAGACTCCTGGGGGAAGGATATTGCAAAATCCCCATTCCCAACACACTCTGGGACCAGCCAGAGGTGGTATTTACCGGTTCCCCGAACTACTCAAAATTCCCGCTACCGGTTCTCCAGAACTCGTCAGAACCTGCTGAATTTCACCCCTGAAGGTGATACTAGGATGGCAAAACTGGTGAAATAATATTTGCACACTTTCAAAACTGAAGAGAGTGTTGGAATTCAAATGTGACTTTTTATTTTTTTTAAAAAAACCCATACATTACTGGCTTCTTCCACTATTCAGCTGTGGTGGTTATTCTAATGAAGTTCAAAATGAGATAATTAGTTTCTGGGTCTCTTTGTGATTCTCAAACATGAAATCACTTTGATTCAGAGTCCCTTTTGATACGTGGTGCGATTTTTGAACTCTATGAATTGCCAGGGCCTTCCTTTCAGAATCGCCAAGGTTGGTCGTCCTGTTACGCAAAGTAAACTCAGTCATTGTGCTGATATTGAGAGAACACCATGTTTTTGGAAAATAAAAGTGTGCATGGTGGGATACAGTTAAAGTTAGGATGAGGATGTTGATTAGTGGTGGGATTCAAATAAATTAACAATCGGTTTTCTGACCTAAGGACCAGCTGGGTAGGCGGGGCTTGGTGGTCATGTGATTGGGTGGGCGTGGGCAACTCAATGTCACTCAGGTCGATGGGCGCTTCGCCTTAGCTGTTACAATGTAATAAGGGTTAACCGGAGAGGCAGTTTCTGTAAGCAGGGCAATNGGTTCTCCCGAATAAATGCGAACTGGCTGAATCCCACCACTGCATAGAACCCAGGGGTGGGTTCCGCCAGGCACTGCTGCCGGTTCGCTCATTCAGAAATTGTTCTGTGCATGCGCAGAATCGAGAAACAAGATGGCGCCTATGGCGCCACCTGAATAACCAGTTCGGGGGCATGGCAGATCTGGGTCGCTGCCAGTTCCAGCGACCCAGGCCGCCAAACCACTACTGGTTCAGCGGAACCGGTCTGAACAGGTAGGAATCCACCACTGATAAAATCCCCCTACCTTTCTTACTCTTCCAGAGAGCTCGTATAGTTGCTGCAGAGGTGGTATTCAGCCAGTTTTGACAGGTTCTGGAGAACCGGTAGTGGACATTTTGAGTAGTTCAGAGAATTAGCAAATACCACCTCTGGCAGGCCCCACACTCAATCTATTCACTGCCTCCCGAGTCCCAGCTGATCAGCTAGGTCTTCTTTTGTTGCCCTACACAGGGGAATGGAGCTGGAAAGCAGGTTGGTGGGGTGGGGAGGGAATGGGGATTTTGCAGTATCCTTTCCCTGGAGTTGGGTGGAAACAGAAATTTTACCGTATCCTTCCCGCAGAAGTGGGGAGGGAATGGGGATTTAGCAGTATCCTTCCAGAGGTGGGTTGCTCCCAGTTCAGCCCTGTTAGGCCGAACCAGTAGGGGTATTTTGGCCTGCGTCGCAGAACCGGAAGTGACCCTGGCTGGCCACACCCCTGAACCGGTTCCCTGGTTACCGCTGCTGTTGCCGGCATATTGTTTAGTAGTACGCGTGCAGGCGCAGTTCACTGTAAATAGTTCTGCGCATGCATGAAGAACAATTTATATTGAACTGCGCGTGCATGCACAGCGAAGCGAACCGGTAGTAAAACCAAGAGCAACTCACCTCTGTATCCTTCCCCAGCCATGCCCACGAGGCAAAACCCACCAAGCCATGCCCACCAAGCCACGCCCACAGACCCGGTAGCCGAGGTAGCGCAGCGGTTAGGGTGCAGTACTGCAGGCCACTTCAGCTGACTGTTATCTGCAGTTCAGCGGTTCTAATCTCACCGGCTCAAGGTTGACTCAGCNCCTACCCCCGATGGGATAACTGTTCCCCGTGGAACTATGTTCTGCAGTAATAATGTCCCTGAAAGGGACACCTGGAGGACTTTCCTCGCTGATATCGGTCAGGCTGGGCTCTCTGTCTGGCAGAGTATCCTCCCTGCTGCCTATATTCCTGGTTCCCATAGTCCCCCCAAAGGGAAGAACCATAGTCCTGGTTCCGAAAGAACAAACCAAGGTCTTGCCCTCGAAAGGATGGATGCCTGGGATAAGGAGCCGGACAATTGAAGCCTTTTTTAGGTTCGGTAGGGAGGACCTTCCTCTTCTCCTTATTCACCACCAGGTAGGGATCCAACGCATCCCCAAAGAGGGAACTGCCTTTAAACATAGCAGAAGCCAACCTCCACTTATGGCACACATCAGCCTGCCACTACCGGAGCCACAGCAGTCTGCGTGATGCCACCGATGAAACCATGGCCCTAGCTGCAAATCTGGCAGATAACAGGGTGGCATCCGAGGTGCATTGCACCGCTGCCACTAGCTTTGCAATGTCCTGGTGCGCACGTATATTTGCGATTGGGATACACTGCTGAAGGTCCTGAAGCCAAAGAAGGCAAGGTCGGGTGAAAAAGGAGGCCGTGATAGAAACCCTTACCGCCCAAGCAGTGGCCTGATGTCCTCTCTGCAGTGTGAGGTCTGCTTTCTTCTCTTCCGGCTTCAGGACATCCTCTGGGGCTCCTGGCATCTGAGCTGGAGTGTATAATGCAATTATAGGAGCGTCAATCGAAGGGATAGACATGAATTGAGCCAATTCATTAGCCACATTGAAGAATTTTTTATCTGAAGCCGAAGGGCTTGGCCCAGATGTGGGATTTGCCCATTGACGTTGAATTAAGTCCTAGGGGGGAGGAATGAGGCTCAAATATATCTGGCTGAGATGTGGAAAACAATTCTATTATAAAAGGCTGTTCTGAGGTCCCATCAACAACATGTACCCAATGATATGTCCAAAAGTCATCCATACAACCTTTTTTCTTCTTGCGCTTGACCCGTCCAACATACTGTACAAGTCCAATGATATCACATAACTGATTTTGTGCTAACTTATCCAATTCGGATCTTGTTACAAACTGATATTCAACTTCGGGCAACTTCCATTCTGGTTTAATTTTATGTTCTGGAATGATGTTAATTTTAGCTGGAGGGTCTCGAACATTCAAAGCTATTTTATTGAACTTTAGCATTACTTCATTCATACTTGGACAATTTGGCGTAAAGCTCAGCTGCTCGAAGTTTCTTCAGCACCGTACGAACCAGCTTCACGTGCTCCTCACGTGTTTCCATGTAAATAAGGATATCATCTAAATATACGATAACGCCCTTATAAAGATGCTCATGTAAAACCTCATTAATTAGCTGCATGAAGACCACTGGTGCCCCCTGTAGGCCAAACGGCATCACACGAAACTGGAAACTGCCAAGGGGACAGTTGAAAGCAGTTTTCCATTCGTCCCCCTCCTTAATACAGACTCTATAATAAGCTTCCCTTAAGTCCAACTTAGTGAAAATGCGGCCCTTCCCCAATTGGGCCAGCATGTCCTTCATCAGTGGCAATAGGTAGAGGTTCCGAGAAGATACCGCGCTCAGGTTTTTAAAATTAAGACATAATCTCAGGGAGCCATCTTTCTTCTCTCGGAATAGTACAGGAGCCGCTACCTTGGGTCTCGCCGGTTCAGTGAAATTCTCCAAATTCTTATCGATGAATTTCCTCATTTCCTCCATTCCCCTAGGGGACATTGAGTATATTTGGGGCTTTGGAAGCTTCACCCCAGGTAAAATATCAATGGTGCAATCAGTGGGCCTGTNAAAAAGGCGGGCGGGACGCGGGAAAATGCGTTGGAAGGCGGGTGTGTCCCGCCAAAAGCGGGACGTCTGGTCACCTTACCCTAACAGCCTCGAGGCACTGGCACATCACGTCAACCACTTCACTGAGTTGGCACGGGGCGGACAGATACAACTGTGTATCGTCCGCATCCAATACAACTGGTGAAGCTTCTGGGACAGGAAGCGAAAGATCTTGTTTTCCCTCAAAGAAATCATTCTGGTTTCCTTTTCAAAATAAAAACCACTTTTGATACAACAATGGCCTGTATGACAGGGAATCTTCATAGAGACAGGCTCTCATTACTATTAAGTCTTCTCTCTCCTTCCCCCTTCCCACCCATTACAGCTTTCTCCAGGGACGTACCACGTTGCATAATGTGTCCAGAGTTGCATAATTTGAATATGTACCTTGAGTAAGAATTCTGGATTTTAGTGGAATGTGGAAATGTCCATATCATATGGAGCATCAAGACATGGCCAAGGGAACTGTCAGATAAAAGGCAGCTCAGCCTGCAGGAAGAAGGTGGGTGGAGCAAGAGGGTCAAAAGAGACCCTCCCTACTTTCTTGGGCTGTAAGAGGAGGGAGGGAGGGAGGGAAGTATTGCAAGATTCTGTTAAGGTAATCTTACAATAATGCAGAATTAGCTCAGCTCTCTTGTCTAGTTAGTAGACCCTGTTTCCTGTCTGGATGGGTGGATGGGTGGATGGGTGGATGGATGGATGGACGGACGGACAGATGGATGGATGGACGGACGGACGGAAGGAGGGGGTGGGGAGGGAGGGAGTGAAAGATTCTCTGCATTTCTTATATTATGGTTTAGTTCCCTCTTAAGGATTCAGAAGAAATTTTACCCTCTCCTTTCAGATTCTTTTCTCCCATTCCCTCTAATTTTATATAATTGTTTTCTTTATTTCCAGTTAATTCAATAACCCTAATATCTTCTTCTAGCCCCCTGGGAGTTATTGACAAACTGCTCCAGCTTTTCATCTTCTAGTATCTCCTCTTTGCGACCAGAGCATCCAGGTGTTGATTCTCAGAGTATGTGAAGTCACTTATTACCAAATTTATCCCTTTTAGCATCTCCTGATTTCATTCCTCATTTCAGGATCTGCCATTTTGCTAAGGGAGATAATAGCATGTTTCCAGAATTAATTATCTCTGAAGCCTAGATTTGTTCTCCAGATAGTTCAATATTCTATCCCTTTGTCTAGCTTAATTGGTATCACGCCACCTTGGCATATAGAGGATAAATGTGGTCCCTTTTCCATACTAGCTTAAGTCCTTTTGACCAAACTGATTGATGATTATGTACCACCAAGCTGGTGTTGACTATAACAATGACACAGATAGATTTTCTCCAGGACGTCTGGCTAGACGTGACCATATTTCATGGTAATTTGAAGAAAAGTGGCATTCTACAGGGACAGCAGTGTGGCCCTTCAGATGTTCCTGCATTATAATTAGGTGTCCTTTGCCATTGATTATTCTTCCCATGAGCTGCTGGGAATTATAATTCAACCACTGTTGGAGAACAAAACAGTGTTCAACCCTGCAACAGTCTCTTAAATCTTATTATGCTTTTCATAATATCTGTGTTCTCTTTTCCAATCATTTACTCCTGGTTTTAGTAGGCATAGCTCAAACTATAGAAACAAGCTTACATTTCCCCAAAGGAAGAGAAACATCAAAAGGGAGAAGAAAGCACACTGTGTGAGCATCCATTCCAGATGAGACAATCCAAGCGAAAGGAATTAGCAATACGGTAGAGAAGCACCTACCAATAACAAGGAAGAAAGGAAAGCAATTCTATGATCAACCAAGGGGAAGAGGTGGATCATGCCTTCCAAAAGCCACCTGCAGGTGTTTCCAAGAGGCATGAAGTCCTGCTGAGGAAGATGTTAATGGCTTGCCATGTGCTGGGATTAAATTCCACCAAGGGTAGTTCCTCCAGGAAATTCTGGATTTGTCATGCTTGCAGTTTTCTTCTTCAGAGAGTGGAGAAATGCAGGCATTTGACTCAATGTGGCTAAATATATACCTTGGACAAAAACAACCAAGTTTAAAGAAATAATAAAATGGTTCCTTGATACAAAAAGTTAATGGGAAACCAATGTCACAGTGGGTGGGAATTTCTAGAGTTGTTTCACCCTAACCTATCTGAGGGCACGTCACCTGATGTACTGCAGCCAGTTGGACGCTACATTTTGAGAAGGATTAAGAAAACCTGGGGTGGATTTAATTATCTGTTTTGTCATGTATTTGTTTTTCACAAATACTTTTCTTCTGTTCAAGATTTCACAAATTTTAACTGCAGATATGGGATGCTTTAAAAAGGTCAACACAAACAATATGCTTTAAAAGCTCAGTCGATGTAATACTTAGCCCCTCAAATTCCACTCAACCAACATAGCCTTCCTGCTGGGAAGTTGACCCAGCTGCACCTCTGGACAGGTCCACAGGAGAGCCAGCTTGCTTTCAGGCTCACATCCCTCTGAATAATGGACCTGAAGGATCCTTTCCCTGCAAGTTCACAAGGACAAGCAGATTGGTCCAAAGAAAGACTGTGAACGCAAGAACCTGAAACCAAACCACCTATGGCTTTATGCCAAAACCAGAACTCTGAATTGGCCTTAGAAGCGATCAGAGCAATACCCAAAGGAAGGCTTAATTGCAAAACTGGCAACTTGGCTGTTGCATCTTGTATTGATTGTAGCTTTTCCTTTGACTCCAAAGACGGTTTTATGTGAAGCTCATCACAGCAAGATAGCCTGGTGGTAATAGATAAGCCTCCCTGTTGCTAAGGCATTTTGGACCAGTTGGGTTTTGCAACTGGCACATTATTATGGTTTATCATAGAGTCAGCCAGATGTTCAGACTGGACTTGGCATTTTTGCCTACCTATTGAGTCCTTTCCAAGGATCTGGATGTTTGACACTGTTACAGATATCGTCACAGGATGGAAGCTGTTCCAAGGAAAGCTGCCTTCTGCAATTGACTGAATGCAAATTTGTCAGTGCCGATGGTCTTCAAGTGGTGCTCCAGATATTTTAGGATTGCACCTAAGGTGCCTATGACTATTGGTGCTACTTTTGCTGGCCTTTGCCACAGCTGTGCTATTTCTATTGGTAGGTCTATGTATTTTTTTAATCTTCTCCGGTTCTTTCTCTTCTATTCTGCTGTCTCCAGGTACTGCCATGTGGATGTTGTTTGTTGTTGTTGTTGTTGATGATGATGATCAGTGATACCCATTGTCATTGGAGCACTTGGTACCATGTCCAAGAATTTTATAAAACACATCAAGAAATCGCAGTTTCTTGCAATAACACCAGTGGAACTGTAAAAAACTGTACTATTTGGAACATCGTACATCTTAAGAGGATACTTGGTTGATACCGGCAAAAACCCCTATCAACCATTAGCACCAGTCAATGCTATTTGTGATGTGCTTTTGAATGCTCAGTTGACTGAGTTCATGTTTAAGGAATAAAATATATAATAATATTAGTTGCTGAACATCTCCTCTCTATAACAAACATTAAAGCATTAAAAACATTTAAAAACATTAAGATCAACAATCATAGAACACAGCATTGTTCTAGCATTGTTCAATCATTAAGAAATAAAAACACTAGTCACAGTTTGGAAAAGGGCCTCTTTATTCTGCTGTTTCAGGAGCTGCAGTGTAGTTGTGGGCCTGCTGCTCCTTCAGAGAGAAAGGAACCGTATCCAAACCCAACACTATGACTAGCTCGGAGCCAGGATGTTTCTGGAATAATTGTTACTACCGACTTGCTAAGATTCAGTCTCCCCCTGTTTCTACTCATCCAGGCTCTCAGGCCTTCTGACTCTGGATTAGGACTTCTGTCACTTTTTGAGTTGGGCATGTGAGAGACAATTAATATCATCCCCAAACCATTGCAAAACAGTATCTACAACCCCAGCTCCCATAGATGGTCTAGCAGGAGACCATGCTTGATGGTACCAAAGCTGTAAAAGAATCAAGGGAGGCAGTGACGTGCGGTGAGGTTTATGGTTGGTGAGGCACTGACACAGGGGTTTCAAATTTTTTTACACTTGTGGACTTCAACTCCCAGAATTCCACAGCCAGGCATGCTCAGTTCCGATTTAAAGCAACAACATTTGTTTTTCTCCTTTGTGAAAAAGTTTCCTTCATTCTTTTTCTTCTCCCTTCCCCTCCTTCCTCCCTCTCTCCATCCC